TTGATAATAGATCATTCGTTGCCACGAAATACGTGGCCAAAAGGTAAAATTAGTAGAACGTTACCGGGACCAGACGGTCACACCAGAGTGGTTGACGTCATTACTAGCACAGGTATCTTGAGGAGACCTACATCCAGAATAATAGTCCTGGTACCCGCGACGCCTCCCAAATGATGGTGCTAACGCACGGGGGGGAGATTGTTGGCGACGCGCCTATAAAAATGTTTCAGTTTATTAAATCAACCGATGACGTTGCTATGAAAAAAGGGGTAGTCACGAGCAACGACGCTCTGATAAGAGAATGCTTAGTTAAATCTTTAAGAAATGTCGAATTAATGATATGAAGGTCTTGGGTTCGACTCCCAGGCCGGACTAGTTTGTTTGTTTTCCTAAGTAATATCGCTTAATAAATTCGTAAGGAATTTAAGATATAAATTATGTTACCGGATTTGTTCCCCGGTTGAAATCATCTTTCAAATGATGTAAATTCATAAGAATATTAAAGTGAAGTTAAAGATCGGATTTGTTCCCCGGTCGAGATAATCACTCTGTGCATAGGCAGAATTAATGGATATTAATTGCATAAATGTTGTTTTGTATAAGTTTGATACGTTTTGTACGAAAACAAATGCCTATTTGTTATGATTGATTAATGAGAACATTCATTTATATTGTTATCTGATTAAAGATAGTTTCATACAGTTCGAAAATTGTATAAAAGCATTTAATTTGCCAAATATTGATAAAATTGGTGAATTTCAGAATTTCTTTTTTTTCTGATAGCCGAGAGCCGTGCAAAAGTTAGTTGTTCAAATAGTGTGAGTTCATAGACGCACGCTAAGCCACGCCCTTAGGAGGCCGAATATGTAAAAATTTAAAATGTTTGTAATTCAGTGATTTATGTAAAAATTACTTGTAAAATATTTCAGGTTAATTGTACGTGCTAAAAAGGTAAATTCTGTGTTATTTTCATGTGAAAATTCCTGTGTATAAGTGAAATAATGATAGTTTTGTATAAGAAATTTAAAAGTGTTTTAAATAGTGAAATAAATAGAAAAAATGTAAATTAAACTATTGTATTGGTTAGCTTATGTATAAATTCAAGTGAGAAACATTGTTTTAACTTTCTGTGTTAAATATTTAAGAAATTTCGATTTCGAACTTGTGAGTAAAATAGGCAGTTTTCGTTTAATAAATAAAAGGTTTTTTATGATATGAAGATATGATATATATCATGGTGTAGATATTGTTTTGTACTACCTATATTGATAAATTGTATTTGTATATGATTTGAATAAATAAAGATATTGAGTGAAACGTGAGAGAGTAATAGTACAAATTCATGTAATTAAGTTGCGCAAGCGCGCAGATGGCGCGGCTCACTTTCGCGTATAGCTCTGGGGTAGCTTAGTGAACGGGTTTTATTGCAATTCGTTCGGAAATGTTCGGGAATCGTTCGGGGAAGTTCGGAAATCGTTCGGGAATGGTTCGGGAAATATTCAAGGAAGTTCGGGAATCGTTCGGGGAAGTTCGGAAATAGTTCGGAAATAAATAAGAAAATCCGGGAAAAAGTTCAAGAAAAGTGAAAAACCAGCAGTATAGGGAAAAGTGATTACTCTCTCACGGAACGGTTTGAAGATAATTGCTGTTTCATTCCCAAGATCCTTTAAGTTATACAGTCCACATCGAAGAATTAAGGCGTCGGGACCGGGACGACTTCGGAAGACCCGTAATCCCCGTCTGAACCTACTTGCTGAAAAGGAAGAGGTTATCGCCCTAGTGTGTTACTCCGTTGCGGAGATCACATACGTTGTTCCCGAACCCAACGTAGGCGTGATAGGAGGCCGGATCGAGAGAAGCCTCGATTCCTGTTTCTTAGTACCCGATCCGCTAGGTCCTTTTCAATTGGTCCTTTTCAGGATCAAGAAGGACGTCCAACCTGAGTTCCTTTTCAATTGGTCCTTCGCGGCCGGATTGAGAGGACTCGCGAACCTGGTCCTTTTCAAAGACAAAAAACTTTTTTTTTTAGATGTTCACACGCTACAATCCTAAAAAAAACCTATTTTATAAATTGCATTTTTTCCACACCAATCTAATATTTTCTCACTTCTGTATTTTATGAGTTAATTACTATATATATACTCCATTTCATGGACTAAATTAATCCACCTCCGAACATTGGTGTCCTCCATAGATAATAGATGTATTCATAGATAAAGTAGCGGTTTTAGGATATTGTAAGAATATCCACTACCCCATCGTTCTGAGGAATCGGAAGCTATAAAGTTTTTCTGGCATATTCCATAGTCACCTCTTATAAAAAGTACTCTGTACTCTTACGCCACCCACGGGAAGGAATATGGTGTTAGATTTTCTTATATCACTATCACATGACAATAAACAACATTATATCAAATTTGAAAAAAAAAATACGTGTGGCACTCGGTGACTGCCGCGGTAAAGCTATTGCATAGCACTTTTATCAACTTATGCAATTATAATTATTTATTTATTTTATTTATGCAGTTAAGTCTTTGATATTAAATCAAGTTACACTTTTTGAGCATGGTGACCGATAAGAAAACAATTTTTTTCTCTTATTGAATAAATGAGAAGTTAATATTGTTTAAAATATTTTTAATATCTTACAATACATGTAGGTTATTCAGGAATTTTTATCATTGAGTTAGCAGCTAGTGTACACGCATACGTCTAGTCGCACGCACACAAACACCGTGCCGAAGTCTGCCGAACTGAAACGACGTTAGACGATGCACGGTTTTCAACGCCACACCTCCGTGCCCGTCGGAGTGGGGAGCGTGAGGTTTTTTTTCGTTACGGAATTTCTGGATTCGGTCCCCGCGCTCGGTCGGCCCGCGATAGAAGCTATGCAATAGCTTAAATTTCATAAAGATGACGCCGTCGGTGGACATTGCTTTAATAACTTGATTTTATATTACGTCTAGGCTCATGACCTGCTGCGTCTAAATAAAACTAGATATATTTGGTGAATGCACCGATTTTTTTTTATATAGGCCGTTGTGTCTGCATTCGATAAGAGAATTCACTACCCCGTAATATCATATCATATCTGTGTGTTGCAAGATCGTAAGAGATCATAGTGAAATGAAAGACGAAATGAAAGCATAGACAGGAACGATAGAAGTGAAAGCATAGAATAAAATAATTGTACTGGGCTAAAAATAACTATTTTGTGTTAGAACCCACGAAAAATCGTCGACAAGCATGTAATATAGTACGCGAAGGTAATATGGTCATTCAGTTAATATGGTCACTTTCTTATAACTCAACAACTCACACGTACAGCCTTGTTTGCATAGATATATAGCAATAGCTCAAATGTATAAAATTTTGCAAATATGACATTGTGATACGATAGCTCTTCATCAGTCAATGAAATAATAAAGGTTCAAAAGGGCGATACTTAATCGACGCCATTTTGACAGTGGACATTAGAGGAAATATTTTAGGTGATTTTAGTATGTTTCAGCAGCGCCTGCAACTCCAGAGGCCCGTTTTCCGTTCCCCGTTTCCCCCGGGGAACACCGTTTACAAGAGGCCATGACTAACGCCTAGGTGACGTCGTCTCCGAGCGGGATCCACCTTCTCCCGATCTCACTCAGAAGCCTCCTTCTGAATCTTAACGGATTCGCAGAAGGTGGCTACGGTCCTCCATGCCGAGTCCCTGCTCAGCATCGCCGACACGACTGCTGGAAGGGAGAGGTTCCGTCCAATGCGGTTTACCAGAATCGTCCGCTCCCGTTCCCACGCTGGGCATACCGCGAGCATGTGAGAAGCGGAGTCCTAGTCCCGTCCTCCAGAGTGGAAGCAGTTCGATCGATCTTACACATGTAATCACCGAAGCACTCGTGCCCGGTAATTATCTGTGTAAGTTTGTAGGTGAGTCTTCCTACTCGTCGCTGCATCCAGGCTTCGAAGGCCGGCAGGATTGCTCCAGTGACGCGTTTGCGTTCATAGCGCTCCTCGAGACGAGTGCGCCATGTCGCCAGGGCGTTTTGCCGTTCCTGCCGTTTAACTGATTCGAGTGCCTCTACAAAGTCAAAAACAGAATAACTATTGTTAAATGTGTAAAAAATAAGTTATTATATGCAAATTATTTAATTTTTTTAACCTAAATAGTTTCCTTTAAAACTTCACCCCTATTTTTCTACCCTTATCATTCTTTTCTAAAAATTTATAGACACCTCCTGAAGTTGTTAACGTGCTAGTGCCATTCTGCAGCTATTTAATTGGCCGTCTCGACTGGGGTAGGACCACGTTCTCACAGTATATCAGCGTAAAATGCAGTTTAATGCTGCTGTGATTCGTGAGGTGGGTGTAGAGAACCAGAGACCCTTTTTAATAGAAACAAGGCATTACCTAGGCATTACATCTTATATCTGCAGGTCTATATTTTGGATCTTAATCGAGTGCAAATGTAAATTTCTATGGACCCATCATCCACTTATTTACTTATGGATTATGTGCTCGTTTGTCGCCCTTATTCTATACAAAAAAACCTCCTGAAGAACCCATGACCTATTAAATATAAGAATAATGATTAAAATTAGTTTCGCTTGTTCCGAAAAATCAGTGAACAAACTAAAATTACGCGTCAATTTCAACACTTAAAATAACAATGAATATTTTAACTTCGAATTTGCTTGGCTTGGTTTCCTTACGAGGTTTTCTTTCACTACCAAGGACGTAGTAGGTGTATCACCAGTATCAGTGGAGACGGTGGGGATTAATTTCGGGTTACTTTTGAACTAGAAGGCAGGCAAAGCCCCGTGAGCTACCAGCCTTATTAACAAAAAAAGGTTTACTTAATTTATTGAAATGATATAAACGTCATTGGCCCATGAAGCAAAGCAAACAGACCTCCCTGAGCATAATGCATTCGGTATCTATTATAAACCTTAAAATTAGCCAATCTTTGCCAGTTGGAGTTACATTCAATGTTTTTTTTCCTCTTTCAGATCTTCGAGCTTACTCAACGAAACCGAAACATCTGTCAAACAATGGGAACTGAAGATTAAAGAGAAAGAAAATAAAAACCGTAATAATTCTAGAGATCAAATTTTGGGTGTTTTGTCGTTGCAAGATGTTTTTATTAATGGTATTTTATTAAAGGACAGGATAGGTTACAGAACTGATCAAAAAGACAACCTTTCTCGCTTGTTTAGAGTTATGAAGGACTATAACGAGATCTATGATTATGTATTATTCAAGTTTTTAAATAGTGTAAATAAGACTTCTTGTGAATATATTAAATGTAAATTGTGAAACTTTTATTTTTGTTTTATCTTTTTTTTATTTGCGTCACAGATACTCCTTATTATAAGGCGATTTATAAAAAAAATTGCACGTGAATCAACTACAGAACAATTAGTCCTCTAACTTGCGGACTGTAGAGGCACTTGCTCAAGCACTGCGCATAAAACGTAGTGATTATGTAGGTACTCTTTGGCCGCTATTGAATATCTCAATCAGAGTTTCAAATCACTACATTTAATCTCCTAAGGCTAACTAAAGTGGTATCTTGGAAAAAGTATATGTCACTCTTGTTATAGTTTTTTCTTACTTTAGTAATGTACTCGTATATTTGTACTTTTTCCAGTGTCAAGCAATAGGAAATTAATATTTTACGTGATAGAGTCATGCTGCGGCTATATTTATGAATGTAGCAAGACTGGACTGGGCTTGACTGGGGAAGAACCACGCTCTCACAGAATACCCCAGCCCAAAGTAGCAGTTTACTGTTGCGGTATTTCGTATGATGAGTGTAGAGTAACGATGACTATTTTTATTGGAAACGAAACATTCTATCTTAGTACTCCTGAAGGCTGCTGGACACGGGTAGAGTAAACAGTAGAGTGAACTAGCATACTACTCTACCGGTTCGCGGTACTCTATCAGTTTTAGTATAGTAACTGTCCACATGTAAATTTTCATTTTGTTAGTAGAGTAAAGCTTTTAAGTCACTCGATAAGAAAAGCTAGAACAATGACTCATCGAGAAATAGTAAGGAAAGCTCTAATAAACTTAACAGATTTATATATATTGAAGGAGGTAACGAAGGCTCTTGAAGAAGAGAAAAATAGGAAAAAGAGAATATGAATAAGAGATTGGATATTGAGAAGGGATGGGCGAGGGGCTTCAGTACTTTTGAAAGAGTTAGCAGCAGAGGACGTAAAAGGACATATAGACTAACTATGAGGATGACGCCAGAAATGTTTGAGGATTTGCTCAAAAAGGTCGGTCCGAAAATTAAGAAACAAGATACTACAATAGACAACACGGAGATATCTACCGGTCATTGCAGAATCATTACAGAGTGTCTAAATGCAGTATTTCGATATTCATTCCTGAAGTTTGTGACGCCATATACGAAAGCCTGTATGAGTATATCAAGGTAAGTTTTTTTATCAGCTAGATTCAATATTATTGGTGTGCTTCACCACATCGACTCACATACCCACAAATGGCAAGCCGGCAATCTATGCAGATATTTAGTCGATAAATATTTGAAATTAGATGCTTAGTAAAAACATATCTATTTCTATGTGTTTCGCTGTGGTGATGCACAATTAGTGTAAGCAATTTAATAATAAAAGACAAATTCGTAAATGTAACTTTATAATAAGAAAAAAAATGAAGGAAAAACACGTATCGGTATTTGAACTTAGACTAAATATTTGTAGAATTCCAAGCTTGGGATAAGATTGATTGAGTTGCTTCTTGGGTTTCTTGATCATCAACTTCACTTTGTAAGTAAAATTGTGAAACATCTTGAGTTTCAACATTGCCATCAGTTTGCAAGATTGATTGAGAAGGATCTTGAGTTTCTTGTATATAAACTACATCATTCTGCAAGACTAACTGAGAAGCATCTTGGGTTTCCGGTACGTAAACATTATGCTGTTCGCGTTGCGGTCGGGGAGTCATAACTGAGGGTGTACTTGCGTTAGATGTGTTTTAGGTCGAAGGCGGTATTAAAAACCGGACCAAAATTGCTTGTATTTTACTTTGTGCCAGTAAAGATTGTTCGAATGACATTTTGTCCAACATTAAAGCGACATATGAGCCAAACGCACTGTTGGCACTTTGAGCTCCAACGGGAGTTGTAATTATGTCGTTACTACTGCGTAAACTATCGTGCACTTTGCGTACTTCATTAACAGCCGAAGCAAGAATCTGTAAATTCTTATTTTTGGATGTCTTTCCTTTTCCCTTGCCTTTTAATGTTGGAGCTATCTGAATTGGCGCTGACTGTGAATCTTCAATATTTTGTGCAGTACTGGTTGTGGCTCTTGTGAGTCATTTATTGAGACTAACGATGGCTGTGGATCATGTGCATTTGCTGAGACTTCAGTTTCGTTTTCTGATATTGCAATCTGTAATTAAAGAATATAATTAGGTTATTTTCTTTTGATTGCAAGTACTAGCTTCAGAAAACAACTGGAAAACAATAAGTAGTGGATTTGAAACTCATTGGAACTTTCCAAACTGTTGTGGTGCCATCGACGGCAAACATATTTTGATACTAGCCCCTCCAAATTGTGGCAGCGAATATTTCAGCTACAAGGGCTCGAATAGTATTGTGTTAATGGCAGTTGTCGACTTTAACTACAAGTTTCTGTACATTAATGTTGGTGCCGAAGGATCACAATCAGATGGTGGTATTTTTAAAAATTGCCTGATTTCAGATGAATTAGAAAGAGGACTATTGCCTGAAGGATTACTCCTACTTGGTGATGATGCTTTTCCATTAAAATCATACTTATTAAAACCATATAAAACTTACAGAGGTCCTTTGACAATACCTGAAAAAATTTTTAACTATCGTCTGAGCCGAGCAAGAAGAATTGTGGAGAATGCATTCGGTATTTTGATGAGCAGGTTTCGGATATTTGATAGAAAAATAGATTTGAAGCCTACCACAGTTCGCAAACTTGTGTTTGCAGCTGTTCTATTCACAACTGGCTGCGTGAATCATCGCCTTCTTATTTGCTAGCAAGTGCGGTCGATCAAGAAAATATACATACTGGAGAAATTATACCCGGTAGTTGGAGAACCGAGATTGAAGAATTGCGTAATCTTGAGAGATTTGGGAGTATTCAAAGCACCAATTTAGCTAAGAGAATACGTGACCGAATGAAGGACTATTTCAACAACAATGGAGCTGGACCCTGGCAATATCGTCATATATCCTAAATAATGTAATAAAATATTATTTTAATAACCACTAGGTACGTACCTCAGATTGTATTGTTCCTTCAAAGTTATCCTGAGTCTCGGTGCTTCGTGTAATAAATTTTAATAATGTATCCATTACATAGTACCATTTTAAAGAAGGCACGTAAACTTGGTTACTTCCACTGCCAGACTTTTGAGATTTTTTTATTTTCATTCGTTCTTGGTTATAAGTACATCGGAGGTTTTTGATTTTTTGTTTTAATTCAGAAACTCCAAAGTTTTCCCTGCTCATTGCACGAATAAGATATTCATAGGCCGCATTCCTTTTGTTCTTATCATTATAATCACGGTGGCTTATATCCCAGATACACGGAAACTCCCCGTAAAGCTCCACTAGTTTTAAAGTTTCTGATTCAGCCCACTTCATGATATTTTTTTTCATAAATCACTACTACCAAAAAAACTGCGTACAACTTTAGTAAACAATGCCATGTGCCTTTTGTAAACAAGTCTAAACTAGTTACTCTACTTACCGTTTACATAGGTCGAGTACTCGGTAGAGTAGAGTGGACGCCGGGGTGGGGGAAGGAAAGTGGTAGAGTAACTCTTCCACGGTGCTAGCCTACTCTACTCTACCAAATTTCAGTACTCTACTCTACCAGCGGTGTCTACATAAGTATAGTAAGTAGGATAGTTAGAACTCTACCACTCTATTCTATCGTTTACTCTACCCGTGTCCAGCAGCCTTGAAGGCCAAGATAGAATGCCTCGTTTCCAATAGAATTAAAAATCAAATCGATAAGGAGATATAATTAAGAATCAAAATGTTCATTTTGGTTTCTAATCACTCACATATATACTCCCACTTCGTACATGGGACAACTTCAGCAAAAAAATCGTGAGCCGTTGCCGACCAACATCTATAACAAAGAAATAAAACTGAAGTATCTGTTTATAATGTCAAAATAACAGCTTTTTATTAAATGCATATAAAAGCATATTAAACGTTACTATAACAACACAATTTTTAAAATTTTTGTCTGTCTGTCGATCTGTCTGTTTATTCCGACTAACCTCCGAAACGGCTGAGCCGACCATTTGACGGGACTTTGACTAGCAGATAGCTGATGTTATATATAAGGAGTAACTTAGACTACTTTTATTTATAAAAATAGGGTTCTGCGCAGAAAAATTAAAACCTACGACATCAAATCGTAATAAATTACACGCGGGCTAAGTCGAGGGAACAGCTTATATTTAACCATAGAATACTATAATACATATATAATAGAACGGGGGAGTGGGCGGAGTCCGTGTAGCCACTAACATGTCACTAACACGTCAATTCACACGTATAAATGTCAACATAATCAATCGTTTCCAATTTTCGTGTGTAGCGTCGCTGCATGCAAATTATAAAAAAATGGCAAATCGAGTCGAAAGAACAGCGGGAAATGGAATTTAAATAAAGACATATTCTACAACCAGTAAGTCGAAACTATTTATATTTTGTGAATATTAGAAACAAAATAAAGAAACATTTATGTGTCAAAAACATTGATCAAAAGTCTAAAGTATTTGTAGTAGTGATAAATGATAATACGACGTAATTGTTTGTATGTGTATTCCCGGCGATGCCAATCCTCCTACAAAGTAAGGTTGACAGCCATTCTATATTGTATTATAGTATTCTATGTACTTAACTAAAGGGCTTCAAACCAAAAAAAAAACGGAATCAAATCTTTTACTTAATTAAGCCTTATTTAAAACCCATAAAAACATCAAAATCTACACCAGTTCCTTCTCAGTGAGGGGCCAGTGAGAAACTAAATGGTTTTAATTAAATATAAGCCTTACGTTTACACATGCAAGGAGACTTGCAAGTGTAGACCTAATTGTAATTTAACACATTATAATACGTATAATATTTTTTGGATTGCTGAGATATTGTTTCGTAAATAACGATTCAATAAGCATGAAATTAAGGCTCACCTTGACTGCACTTCAAGTAACAATTAAAAAGACAGCAAAAACGCACGGGAGAAACGGTTTACCGAGAAAGTAACCGGTTAAGATAAGATAAAAACTAAATTGTATTAAATTCATATTGTTTACAATCAAATTTGTTATGAACAACTAGTCTTTCATCCATCACACATTAAATGCAACACATTTTGAATTGACTTTTTGAGAAAAGCCAAACATATTTTAAACTGGGATAAAGTCGTATTTCTGGAAGAGACCTGGCTTAATGCCAACGGAAGCGTGATGACAAGGCTCAATCAGTCACCAAAGTGCCCGAAGGCACTAGATAACGCCTGATAAGTACGCACGCAGGGACGGCAACGGGTTCGTACACAATGGCTTGTGGCTTTCAAATCAACAAAAGAAAAGCACAATATCATGAGGAGATGAATTTCCAAAAGTTCAAAGAGTGGTTTGTAACAGTACCGGAAAATTTTCATAAACAACATATTATGGAAAATGTGGCGTACCATTCCTCACAAAAGGACAAAGCTCCAACATCCAGCAGCAGAAAACTGGAGCTTATATCTTGGCTGCAGAGCAAAGACATTGAAGTCAATGAAAATATGTTGAAACACGAATTGGTCCGATTAGTGAAAGAAAACAAACCCCGAAAGCCAACATACGTTTTAGATGAAATTGCAGAACAACATAGCCATACGGTGCTTAGATTAGTCCTCTCACAAAATACTAGCGTAAAATAGCAGCTTAATACTGCTGTGATTCATATAGTGAGTGTAAAGATACGGAGACCTTTTTTTACTGAAAACGAGGTATTCAATCTTTGTCCTCGGGGGTGACAACGCATCTGCGTTTTGATTCTTATAAATATAGATGTCTATGGGCCACTGCATCCACTTACCATCGGGTGGACTGTCTGCTCGTTTGTCGCCCTTATTCCATAAAAAATATCATTGCCATTATAATGCCATTTGATGCGAACGGATTTGGGCTCATGTCAAATATTTGTTTTTTTGTTATTATACCTAGTACCTACGTTTTACCTTTATATATATATTGTTGTGCGTCATAATTAATGCCTGGCATATGGCGAGCTACCTCTAGCGCCTTTAAGTATTGAGTAGCAGAACTAGGAGACTCAAGATCTTTCTAGAAAATTCCATACTAGAACTTTCTACACCTAGTTAGTCGAGATCGGTATGTACCCGAACATTCTAGATGTTTCAGTAGAAGAGCCCCCCCTATAGCTGGTGAGGACAGCGACCGAGTCAGTACCCCTCATTACGATAGTGGTTCAAGCCGAGGTTCTTACCTCCTTCAGAGGGACCCTTGAATCACATTGAGCCCCCTCCCCCCATATCTGGAGGAGCCTCACTCCAAAGGCAGGGGCCAAAGTGCCATAGGACTGCAGTCGGCGAAGTGGCAGAATCGTTGCACTCGTGGGTCTTCAGTCAGTCTATTTCGATGAAGCTGTAATGGCCGCAGGGCCAATAGCGTACACTTTCAGGAAATATTGAATTGGCGATTCAAGCGAATACTTCAAAACGACAACTAAAGTGATCAGTGTGATTTATTATTAGTGTGTTTTAAGTTGTAATTGGTTTTCGGTAGCTAAAGTATCAATTTTGGTAAGTCAATCGGCAGTTTTTATTGTAACGAGCCCCAAGCTCGTAACAATTGGTGTCAGAAGTGGAATACAATCATGCCGATTTTACCTAAGGATGACACGGACGGTGTCTGTACCCGAAGTCAACGCCAGCAGGAGACGGACCAGAGACGATTTGGTGGTGCAACGCCGCAGACGTCGGAAGGTCAGCTGCCTGCCACGGAGGCCGGCCCGTCAGCAGCTCCTACACCTGCAGTACCTGACTTAGGCACTCTGACGATGATGCTGCAGGCGCAGGCTTGCCGACAGGAGGAACAAGCCCGTCGGTTGGAAGGGCACCAGGAAGAACAGGCCCACCGACAGGAGGAACAAGCCCGACGACAGGAAGAACAAGCCCGTTGACAGGAGGACAGGCCCGTCGGTTAGAAGAGCAGCCTCAGCGCGGACAGAAGGAACAGGCCCGTTGCTTGGAAGAGTAGCTCAAACGCAATAAGAAAGAGCAGATGCTCCTCATAAAGAACCTTGACACTACCTTCGGGAAAGGGATAAAGGTGGTGAAGGATAGGGTTGCTCAACATGACAACCAACTGTCGGAAGCTGAAACCCGAATCAACCAAATGAACAATCGGATTGACAACGTGATGGCTGACGTGAAGGAAACGCTGGACGACCTCAAACTTGGGGACGGAAAAAGCTGCTGAAACGATTGTCCCAGTTAGTCTTCCTCGGAATCCTAGGCAAGCTCATCGTTGTGTTCTCGTGGAAAGGGTAAACAATGACCTTCCAAGGAACGTGGCTTAAACCTTGGTCAGAACCAATGGCATCTCAGGAGTACTTGTGCTGAACTTTGTGATCAAGAACACATTATAGAAAAAGGCACACTGGTTGGTACTTGTGAGGAAGCGAATTGGTTGCATCAGTGCCAATATCTATCGACTGGGACCCCCAGCAAGGATGCACAAACGAGAGTAACCATTTTTTTAGAAGACTGTCGCAGAGTTTTCTCTCCGAATGAAATGGTCAAGGGGAAGAAGCTGTTACTCAAGTATGCCGATGGTTTCTCGACAAACGATGCTGACTTAGGAAGGACTGGCTTAGTTCAACATAAAATAAACACAGGAGAAGAATTGCCTATCCGTCAGCGGCCAAGAAGATTGCCGGTAGCACGTGAAAAGTAACTGGAAACCATGATTGAAGGAATGGTGAAGGATGATGTTATTGAATCTTCATCTAGTCTATGGTGCTGGTAAAAAGAAGGATGGCATCAAGTGGTTTTGTGTTAACTACCTGCATTCTGAACGACGTTACATAGAAGGACAGCTATCGCTTGCCAAGAATTGATGACACGCTTGACTTGCTTACAGGAGTAAAGTGGTATAGGACGCTGGACCTGAAAAGTGGCTACTGGTAAGTTGAAATAGACCCTAACGACAAGGAGAAAACTGCGTTATCGACAGGTAAGGTTCTGTGGTAACTTAAAGTTATGCCATTTGGACTGTGCAATGCTCCGGCCACGTTTGAAAGGTTGATGGAACTTGTACTCACCGGGCTAATAGGCAATGCTTGTCTGGTCTTCTTGGATGACATCATCATCGTAGGCTGTACGTTTGAGGAACACCTTCAAAACCTGGAACGCGTGCTCATGAATATCCAGAGTGCCAACCTCAAGTTGAGTCCGAAGAAATGTTTACTATTCAAATGGCAAGTTAACTTTTTGTGGTATGTAGTGTCGGAAGAAGGTATCCGCACGGACCCAGAGAAAATCGCCGCTGTCAAGGATTGGCCAGTTCCAAAATACAAGACGCAGGTTAGAGCATTTTTGGTTTTGAACTCCA